GATATGCTTTTGTAAGGAAATATCAGGTTTCATCAGTTGTGTGTGGAGTATTTAAATTGCACTGTTAATTTTTTGTTTTTCCAAATCAGCCTTGTTGAAAGCTCTAAAAAATAATAACACTGTTTTAATAACGGAACTTTGTGCCATTTGTCTCTGGTAGAATCAGGACCACATTACTTTCTTTAGATCAACTCAGACTTATTGATTAGTCATCATAGCAAGCATTTTTCTTAATTTCAAAGAATAAATTTGCAAATAATGTAAATTCCTCTTGTTATTTAATGAAGCACTAAAATGGACGAGGACAAACTGATTGTATGTTGAACCACTGATGTCCCAGTAACAATAAATCTATTAATCAATAAATGTTCTTTTGTTTACTCCTTTATTGAATGTCTTAATAATGTCCACCTTTTGTCTATTCTATTTGCATAACTGCATGCAAAATTTATTGTCAATCAGTTTTGCTTCCTAAATTGACAGTTGATTTGATTGAAGTTTTGTTGTTGTTCCCTTTATTTTTTGAGCTGTACATATGCGTACTTTGCAGAAAAACTTTCACAATACAGGTAATATAAAGAAGTAGTATTTAGAATTAAATGTCAGATGCTGGAGGCAATGTGGTACAGAAATGGCCAATCATTTTCATGTCTTTTGGGATTCTCCAAAAATACAGTCATAATGGGGGGAAGTAAACAATTAAATATGTAAGATAATGGGAGTGAAAATGGACCATTCTTTTATATTTATTACACTAATATCTGCTAAAGATCCTTCTGGATTGTAGTAAAAAGGCTATCCCCCAGAGATGGCTACAAACTGACCCTCCAACATTACACCAATGGAGGGGGAAAGAAATCTATAATATGGAGAGACTGATTTATATCTTGAGAAGGAACAAGAGAAATCTGTTGAATGTTGGGAAAAATAGATTATGCATGCTCTGAACCTGGAATAGTAAGACAATGTTGTTAGGAAATGAACGAGTATGTTTTCTTTTTTTCTCCATCCTTTTCAAAATCCAAAATAGTAAAAAAAAAAAAAAAAGAACTAAATGTCAGAATTGAACATTATAGGTTGTAGGTGTTTGGGCTCAAAGAAATAAATGGCCACTTATGAAAGAAGTGTGGTAGGGAAGCAAGTACTTTAAAGAGCCCCTTCATATTCCGCTCATATAGATTCATAGTTTCTGGATTTGTCCATTTATGGTAGATTATAGGGGAAGTTTTAACCCTTTAATGCCAAGTGTATCATATTTTGTACATGAGCTTTTGAGACTTCTGCTTTATCAGTGTGATAGTTTTGCTCTTGGAATTACACAATCAGAAACAAAATGTATAAAAGATTACACAGAAATGCCTAATGTATCAAAATTGATGCAAATAAATTATCTAATTTAAGTTTTACAAAATGGATGTTTTTTTTTTTCTCTTTCATTTGTCAGAAAGTTCAATGACAAAATATTCAATCCATTAATTCATGGTCCAGGCTTAAAGGGTTACAATAATCTAAAGTAGTAGCTGAACATATTTAAATCCTTCCACTGCACCAAAGCAAATAGACAAATCAAGTGATATATATATATATATATATATAATAAAAAAAATTCCTTAAATACTCTTGGTTCCTAAGTGTCACAATGATAACCAAGAACAAAATTATGCTAATTTATCATACACTGCCTGGCCACCTTGAATGAACTAAGCAAATAGTTACAAGCCTCCCTTTGAATAATTACATGTGCACTTATGTTTCATCTAGCAACAAGTTATTTAAACCCAACTTGTGCAATGAGTAGCTTTTTATTTCTGGAACAAACATAATGAACGACACATCCTGTGTTTATGGAAAAGGTGTTCGTCTGTTTCAGAGAGGTGAAATCATCTGCATGCATTAAGCATAGGAAACGTCTAAGGACATGGTAAAAAGGATCGCAATTTAATTTAAAAAACTGTCCAATTTGTTAAAAACTAGAAGGATAGTCCAGATAGAATAGAGAAAATATCGACTAGTGATCACTTTAAAATTTGGTGAACTCAAATCGAAGAAAAACAGCAGATCGGTAACAGTATGAGCTCAAAGAATTAGGTCAGCTCAATGTCACTACCTGAATGTACTGAGCGACCAGGTTATTACATAAATTGATATTTTTATTCCCTGATGACACAGGCATGTTCTTAAAATTTTGAAGGAGTGTTCAGGGAGCAGGAGACACCATTTTCACACATGGATTGGCCACCACAGAGTCCAGACATTAAACCCACTAAGAACCTGTGGGATGTGCTGGAGAAGACTTTGCTCAGCGGTCAGAATATTGTCATGTTGAAATATTTATGCAATGGTGGGTGGAAATAAATGTGATATTGCAGAAGCTAACAGAAACAATGCAACAAAGAAATGTGTGCCGCAATCAAAGCTAAAGGCAGTCCAATGAAAGTAGTGTGTGACCAATTTTTATTGCCCAGCCAGTATATGTCAGTATAGTCAATGTGACACATCTACCCAAAGATGAAAGAAAGTTGGATCCAACTTGGGTTTCTGTACAATGAGAGGTGTCCTTATGTTAGAGCTAATCAAAGAGCTATAACTGTACCTTTTCTGGTATTAAAAAAAAACAAAACATATTTTCTAGTTTCCATATTTTAAAAGAGAAATGCTGGAATATGAACTTTTCCACCTTTTGTAAATCTGGTAAAGATCAGTGACAAATGATATTTTTGTGTCTTTTTTTATTAAAAATTAATAGCACTCTTCATTATACAAGATCTTATACCATTTTTTTCATTGTTTTTAATTATATATAACATTTTGTTTAATAAGGCATTATAAAAAAAAAAAAAACAATAAAACAAGGCTCTGTGGAAGTACTGGTTAAAGTAACCAAGGTGACTACCGGCACGGTCCAGTCTCAGAGTAAATGCCGTAGTTTACAGGTCAGTTAATATACAAGTATGACAACATTCAATGCTAAATAAAGGTTTGTGCCCTGTGAAAAGATAAACGGCAACGTTTATCTTTGCTAAGGAGTGTTTAACGGGTACATCGAGTGTTAAGTGCGGTGCACTCAGGAAAAGTTGCATATATATCAGAAGCACCAAGAATTAAGCCGACTTATCGGATGCTGGAAGTGAATCGTGAGAACTTCAACCGGACTCCTCCTACAGGTTCTTGTTTTCCTCACAGCCTACTGCAAGTCAATCACATTAGTATGAACACATTAACAACATTCCTATGCATTAAAAAAAAATCAATGTTAGTTAACTTTCAACATATTCTATTCACATATACAGTATGTAAAAGTGTTTTTCACATGCAAAATATGGAGTTGGAGTATTGTGACTTTTGACACAAAATAATTTCTTTAATTTCCCTTCAGCTCCAGGATCTCCTTTTTTAATCCATATTCTGACCTCAAAGCAGAAACCCACAGGTTAATAAAGGTAATGAGCCACAGCTGTCAACAAACAGTGCAGAAACGGGTATGACCTTAAAAGACCAAGTTCATGCATTACCAGGTTAAGTTAGGTAATTCCGACCTTCCCTTTTTTTCTCTTTTTTTTGTATTAAACGGGAAAGATTAAAGTATTTCCTGGGAAAAAAGACACTACATAAACTGGGATTAAGACAACAATAAAGTGGAGTGCTTTTGTTAGTTTTGTGGAGAGGTGGGGGATTTTATCTTTAGGATTAACGCAGCTTTAGAGATTTATAATTATTGGTTATAAAAAATGTGACTGGCTGCTTCCCTCACAGTCAGCACACAAAAGAAGCAACACCAAAAAAATTCACACCAGTTAATAGATCATATTCCAGTTTTTACACAATAGCTTTTGCAGTTCAGAGAGTCTGAAAACTGAACAAAAGAGGAAAAAAAGCCTTAAAACTAAATTTGTTGGCACCCTGGCAAAGCTGTGTAAAGCACCGTCAGATAACTGTTTTTTTTTTTTTTATCTCAGAAACATTATAATTGCATTTCCTAACGAATGTCTTGAGTACATTTATTTGAAAAGTAGAATGATTTTGAATTTTAAGAAGAATTTTCAGATTTATTCCAATAACACAAATGCAAGTGAAGTATCCGTTTCTAAATAACAACTCAATGACTATTTCCATGTGGTATAAACAGGATTTTACACAAGAGGCTTGTTTTCTTGTACAACCTGCAGCACAGCTTGATGGAGACCCGTATTTATCGCTCCTTGAAAGTATACTGTTAAAGAACTCAAGGCCATCAGTTCCCCACAACAAATATTACAAACCATCAGCAACTACACCGGTCACAACAGGAAAGGATTTTTTTTAGGCATCATTACTGATCCTTAAATCCTAAAAGATCAAGTTAAAGGCAACTTGATAACTACTCTTCAACAAACAGGAGAACAAGCACATAGACTTTCCTGCCCTACCATTACAAATAGAAATGGCAGCGCCTTGCTGCTGAGACTTTAATAGGAGCTGTAGGCTTAGATGAGGAAGCGAATGAGATTGGGTTTCTTCAAGGTGTTTCGCATAAAGTAAAGAACGAATGCACATCAGGCCAGCTGTTAACAGTGAAGGATGTTAACAACCCTTCTTTCAAAGATCCTTCCAACAATAAGCTACAACCTTCGACTTCTACCCTATTCATTTCTATTTTTTCTTTCTTCAGCTGCCACTGGCTCTCCATCGATTTCCAATTCTCCTTCAGGAGCATTACATAAACAATCACCGTGAGTTAAACATACCGCGTCGTCCTTACGGTGCTGCGTTTATGGTCTCAGCATACCTGCTAAGGATTAGACAAAGCTTTTGCCACCATTACTCCTAGATTATGGAATATATTTTTATTTACGGCATGTTACACATCTTTACTAGGGTGTAATATTCTATTAAAGACCAATTTACCCAATTTAAAGCTGGTCTCAAATCCAAGATCTGGCCTTGTAGGTATTTTTGACAAAAACAGCATTAATAGATGCTGGTAAGAAAGATTATTTCAGATTATTTCAGATATTTTCAGATTATGTCATTTAACCTAAACAATCTCTGTAGTTTGGCACTGATCTTCTTGGAAGTATCACTCAAACCCTCTAATCCACTGGTCTTAATTATAGCAGTCATTTCTGCCTTCACATGAGGTGTTGTTTGGTTTTGGTATTACTGTATAATTTCATCCCTTATTTTTCACTTCACCTTAACGATAAAAAGATTAGTGCAAATGTCAGCAGAACTGGCACCGGCTACGTTTGCATGAGTCCACTGCTGGACGTGAATGTTGATGCCTGGTGATCTCACAGTAGAAGCACTGCTAAACATGTAGGTTAGGGTTTTAGTTTGAAATGTTTTCACTTCCTTTGTCCACTGCTGATTCTTCCAGAGCTGGTGTTCACTATGTCATCATACTGGGGGGGCGGCTCCGTCTCTATATGGACGTCTGTGTGGCCCACAGCGTCTTCATAAGATGGCGGTGGATCACCCGCACTTCCTCTCGCCGACGTGATCTCAGAACCTGGATAGGCCGGGCTGCTGTGGATGCTGAGTTCTGATTGGTCACCGTGATGGTATTCCCTCCCCCATTGGTCCATGGAGACCACAGACAGGACATGGTTGTGATGCGAGTGCCCCAGGCCTGGGCTGCGCTGAGAGCGCTTCCGGGAGTGGCAGCGCCACGCAGTGATGGCGACGGCGATAACGACAAGCCCAACCAGCAGCAGCGGCACAATCAGGTAGAGAGACTGGACTCCGCCGACCATAGAATCAAACCCGCTGGGTGGGTTGCTTTCCCGGACGTATTCCTCCCAGAATCGTTTCTGTGTTTAAAGGAAGACAGAAAGCTAGAGTCAAAACCATCAAGAGCTGCAAGATCCCAACAGAGTCTGACTAAAGAAAGCAGAAAACACAGCAAACAATTTCCTGTGAATACTTTTGGTTGTTTACCAATGAGGACAAAACCTTAGCAAAAACTAAACAAACTGAACGCCCATCTGCGTGAGTTCTCTCTGACAATGGCTTTTCATTTCTGCCTCCGTCTCTAGTGCTGCTTTCCTGCCGATAAAGATCGCTTCCTCCACACACACACAAAAAAACACCCACTTCCACAAAAGCAGGCCGTTTGATTTCAGGACTACACTGCTGGACACAAAATCATCTCAAGTAAAAAGCAAAAAACATGAAAAGTCTGTTTTAGGTTACAGAGATAACATTGGAATTTAGATTGTAACTCTAAATATGAACTCTACTTTAAAAGAGTCCTATGAGTTTCCTAAGTATTTCTTTCCCACCAGAAAATATGTTTAAAATGTACAAATATAGAAGTAAAATGTTACTCTCCCACTATTTAGGCAGGTATCTCAGACTGTTAGAGCCATAAGTAGTAATATTTGTTTTGAGAAAACAAAAAAAATGTGCAGCAGGTAACTGAAATCCTGTGATTTGCAACAATGCATCAGTTCTTGGCCTTTAGCCACTAACCAAAGCAGCTCCGGTCTACAACATAACTAAAGCTAATCCTGGGGGTTGCCTATACAGCATGAGCCAGATTACATTCGTTACTGCTGCTGTGAATTAAGGCAACTGAAACAAAACAGATTTGAGCCTTCTTTGTTTTGTTTTTTTTTGTCAGTCGTTTGATCGATTACTCCCTTTGTTAGGGTTAAAATCATGAAATTAAACCAATTCCCAGCTTTCTAAATGGGTAAAATAAGAGAATATACAATTTGTAAATATTTATAATGGCTTAAAGAAGAAGAAAAACCTAATAAATAAATAAAAAGGGTGATGTCTAGAGACAGATGAAGACGTGCTTTAAAAACACAGGATGGGACCAAAAACTTTCCACCAAGCACAGCAAGGATGTTTAGAGATGCTTGAAACCCAGTGAAAGACCTGGGAATTGAGGTCTCCAAGTCTCCATGACAACCACAGCAAGCCATCAACACAGCTGCTTATGAAAAAATATCAGAAGAAAACTCTTTCTGTTCAACTATCACAAACGTAAGTGTGATGTTTATGAATTTTACTGTACTAGAATTATACTAGATCCAAATGCTTTGGTTGGTGACATTAAGCTTAACCATTTTAGCATGAACCACTGTCGGTGGGTATGCCAAGTATCTGTGATGATGTTTCTTTTCCAAATGTCCACCTGATCTTACACTGTAAAAAACAACCTATACAATTTACCCCAAAAAAGCAAATGTAACAATTTGCATTTAGTTTGGTTGAATAAATTTGTTAAAATTTAATTGGCTATAAAAAAAAATCCGATTGATTAGGTAGAGTCTACTCAACACTATAACTGAAAGACTTTTAATATAAAGCTTGAAGCTGGGATCAAACCAACAATCTCCATGCTGCAAGATAGCATGTTGCAATATGTCACTGTCCTCATTTTTCAACTGGTATCCCCACAGGGCAGCACAATTAGCCGGAATTGCAATTGCTGACTTTTTCTTTTTTTTAAACAGGAAAATTAGAAAACAGAATTAGGGTTGATAGATATTTTAAGGACCTAATTCCTTTACTGGTTGCAGCAGAGCAGTTACTTCTGGGCACACATGCAAATTGCAAGGCCAATATATATTTAATATTTTTTACATTGCATTTCCTACTGTTAACAAAAAATCATTTCTGAGTGAACTGATAAAGCCCTTGCATCATGAACACTTTGAAAAACCGGGACATTTATTGTACAAATCCAGTAAACTTCGCTAGAAAAGTGATTATAGGGCATCAGCTGGATAATGATCAAAAGATATGTTTCTGTCCTGGGAGCTGAAATGTTAAAGAAAAGTCATGGAGGTAGAGAAATAATGATATTTTCAAGATTTTACTTTTTCTTTTAAAGGTTCAATATTCTGCTGCCTTTGAAAATAAAAAATACACACTACAGGGCTCCATATTTTTGCCATTTTTACAGGAAAATTCCTCTCAGATTAGGCAGATAACCTTTACCAAAAACCTCCTCATTCAGCCCTGTTCTGAATAAGCTGTTTTGGCTTTCCACACCCACGTCCTCCTCAAGGCCACAAACCCACAACCGTAACCATGACAACCAGTCAGAATTTGTCAAAAAGGTGGCTAGGTGCATGGAATAATTCAGCAGCTGAAGGCCGTAGCCTGACTGATGGTCTGCTACAGTCTGCTCTGGACAGGTATTTCCCCTTATGACATCATAAGAGGAATGCTTCATTCTGAGCACAAATTAACTAAGAGGTGGAAAAATGCATTGATAGAGGTAAAAGGTTGTTTTTTTTCATTTGTGAACCTAACACACAGGCTTTAGGACACATGTGATTGTTACAAAACATTTATAGTATGAATTTTGAAAATATGGGACCTTCAAATGACCAAATCCAGGCTGAAAAGTCATTGGGGTGGCTAATAATTGCAAAGGCCAATGTTTACGTGATAATACAGAGTAGGGAGGAAAACTTAGATAGAATACATTTTTCTAAAAGAGTGAAAAATAATCTATCGTGATGTCGTTCGGATGCTTTACCGTCTTCTCATCATTCTCAAAAGCTTCACGGGCCTCCTCATAGGTGCAAACCTCCTCGCGACATTCCCTCTGAATGTTCCCCAGCTTTATCTCCTCCAAGAGGGAGTTTGCCCTCCGCAGCCTCCTCAGCACCGAGTGGGCTGAATTTGCTGGCAGGAACACTGTAAAGAAGACAGTAACAGGAGAGGAGTTCAGGAGGGAGACACAAGGAAGGAGAACGGAAGAGACAATGTCAAAGCCAAATCAATGATTCCGAAACAAAAGTCAGAAAGACAAAAGTGACGAGTAAAGAGAAAGTTAATGAATGGAACAGCAAGTGGGAGGGAAGAGGGTACAACATTCAGGGGGAAAAAAAGACAAGAACCTTGAAAATTGGGAGAGCAAAAGAAGTGGAGGCCAAAACAAAAGAAGCAGAGTGGAGGCAAGACATGCTTGGTGCCCACATTTCTGCATAAAAACAAAAGCTGGATTAATTTGGCAATCTTTTCATGAAACTCTGGCTAAAGAGGCTTAAAGAGACAGGGCATCTGTCTCCTTATGACATTCAGAGCAGGAAAACAGCTCTACAAGGTGTCACAGCACAGACTGATACTGATATCACTGGGTAGAAGCCTTTGTTTGACTCATAACATTAAAGGAGTTGGATCAACAAGATGAGGAAAGATGTAAAAAAAAAAAAAAGAAAAGAAAAAAAGGGGAGAGACAATACTGAAGTAGGAAAACAGGAAATCTCAGATGAAAACAAAAAAAGGGGATTGTTTCCCAGATTTCCTCTAGCACCACATTCCAGTGTCTACTCAGAATAGTTTTTCAAAAATGGCCGAGATTCCTTTCTAACGAATGTCCCTCTGGTAATACAGATTTTCACTAAAACAAAAAACAATCTTGGCTAAATGTTTTAAAACAGTATTTCCACAAGACTTGAAGATAATTGTTTGTGGTATTATGATTAGAAAATATCATCCACCAGGGCTTTGAAGAAGACTCAAGTACTTCATTTACACAAGAACTTTAAAAAATGTCATTAAAAACTGTCTAGAAGTAGGAAATTAGGAGAAATATCTTCCACAAAAACCTCAAAGTCCAACATGGCCACAATAGGTTAAATTTCCAAAATCCGACTTATTAGATCCATGGGAACTTTACACTGATATCACTAAAACACTCTAAAACAAATACTATTAAGAAAATAATAATGTTCCAGCACACTTTCATTTGCACCAAATATTATAAAATAATGATCCTTCCTTTAAACATTTCCTGGAAAATCCCTTAATGGAAATAAACCAAACCCTAATAATTACTGACCAAATCCCATGTCTAGTGATAACCTCCAAGTCTCTTCCTCATACATTTTCTGACACACTAATCCTCTGCTGGGGTTGTGCCAGGGTGGCGAGTGGCAGGCTCACCAGTCTGTTGCAGGGCAACACACTCTCCATCGAAAGGAATCGGACCTGGAACCTTCTTGCTGCAAAGCAGCAGTGCTAATTACTGCCCCACTGAGCAGCCCCAGGCTTCCTCACCATCACCCTTATCTTTCGCTACCTTCAGACTGGCGCGCTTCCAAAAAGTTTGTTTTCCTTTTAGTCAAACTGAACTTGCGGCACATTAAGCTTCCCATTATGGAAACAGTTTATGTTGATGTTACACATGTCCATCTCTTGCTCGAGAAAATGCAAAAAGAAAGGTTAATAACTACAAGGGTTATCACACCTATCTAGAATGAAATAAATGACTGTTGCCCTGCAATAAGCATATAATAAATGTTGTGGCGGACAGGCGTAGCTTTGATCACATGGTGTCAGCAGTATTGTAAGATCACCTTTTTTTCTCACCTGGTGAGTTACAGTGGGTGGGTGATGTCTACTTTTTGTTGACCTTTAAGCGTTTTTTTTGGTCTCCTTTGCCCTTGATCACGACTCGAACCTGTGGATTCGTTTTTTTATTTTTGTATGCTGCATTGAATGTTTTGAAGATCAATAAAACAAAAGGATCTGAACTGCATCTTGGACTGAACTTTTGAAAAGCGAGCGTGTCAACAAGGATTCCTCTAATCAGCCGCTTGGAGACTCAGTTTGTTTGATTGTGACCAATAAATGTAATCTATAAATAAATGTAGTATGGAGAGAATAAAAGTGGCCCCTTGGTTGTTGATGGGTGGGGCCCTATTAGATTGGGCTAATCCAGGCTTCTACCCTGCTTGTGTAGAGATGCAAGTGTATTGTAAATAAACAGTGAATCAGCTTACCACTCCCCATGATTCCTGCCAGAGTGTTTGGGCTGATTTATCTGTGGAAGAGGTTACAAACACATTAAAAGGATTATAAAGAAAGAAAAGCCAAACTTAAAAGCCTCTTTGTTTTTTACTAACTCATTTCTTTTTCAACCA